TCACCCACCTGTGGGGATTTTGACCCTTTCAGCTCAATAAAAATCCAGAAAACTTTGCCCTGATGTTTGTAAAACACCACAGCTTACGAAAAATAAAAAAAACCTCTCTGAGCTCTAGCCCCTTCTTTGGTGCCACAATGGCTACCTTCCACGCTGTAAAATGTTGTATGACTGGAGGGCTGCGGTGCAAGGAAGGACACATCAGGTTTTGTCACCAGCCATATTAAATCCCATTCTAAAATTAAACATCATTATCATTTATTTGCACCTACTTATATTTCTAAAATCTACCACTCCGCTACTGATTTCTGTTATTTTCCCTACTTCAACTGATAACGTCAGCGGTAGCAAAACAACTGAGAAAGCTCAAACGACTTCGAAGAGATTTGCAGAAAAGCGATTAGAGTCCGGAATATTCAAAAACTTCTTGTCTATTTAACTAACTGAACAAAAAAAAAAATCTCAACATTTCAGTCCCCTCCACCCCCACAAAAAAAAAAAAAAAGAAGAAAACACTTTAAAAGTACGTGGGTTATTCACTATCCCACCTGGCTGGTTCTTTTGAGGCTTGTATCAAAAAGCACTCCACAAGGTTAGACGTTAAGTGAGCTAGATTAAATAATAATATAATAGACCCATGGGAGGAGGAGGATGCTCTTGCATCCAGAGCTTGAACACGAGGAGCTGGGGCTGTGTCCCACCACTGGTCTCGCCACACCAGAGCGGTTGTAGCTCACCTCCAGCACAAGGATGGATTTTTCACATACCCATGCTCATTCACACACGCAGATTTCCTGCCGGTTCGTTGTGCAACGAGGGGAGGAACCAGTCATCCCTCGTGGCTGAGGAACTGCGATAGCGCAGGACTCTTCATCCACGAGCGTGTGGGTGCTTGCAGAAGCCGTGGCCCCTCTGCTGCGGCTGTTTGTAAACAGGCAGCCTGAACGGTAAACACAAACCTGGCTTCTCGATGAAAGTCACTAATTGGCGCCTCTGGATAGAAACTAAAGAAATTGTTTTAGAGATAGCGGGGTGGGAGCCACCCCTCCGCTTCAGATGTTCAGTCGATCTCTGCCCAGCAAAACTTTGTGACTCCCATGTTTGCAGAGGGAGCCAAGGAGCAAAATGAGTCAAAAAACCAGAGCAAGCCCTGGTGAAATTGCCCGGCCACGCTGCTGATGGGAAGGAAAAGGAGAAACCGGGGCCGTTGCGAAGCTGTGGTTGCACGGCTGATTGCAGCAGAGCCAGGCGAGCGCCCCAGGCTGGCGGGACTCCGCTGCGTTGAGCCCAGGGTGCAGCCGTCCCGCCCCGGGGAAGAGCCGGGCGAGCTCGAGGTGCGTGGTGAGCTCGGGTACATGGTCTCTGAGCTAGCGCTTTACTCACAGCTTACTCATGAACGCAAGGTTTGCCCAAGCGGCTTCTGTAGGCACGCATTTCCCACCATGGACAATGGCTGCTTCGGAGGCAGGCAACTAAAAAAGAAAAAAAAAAAAAAATTGAAATATTAGGAAAACAGAAATTTTAAAAGATTTTTTTATTGGCCAGGAAAAATGTCAGCAATGAAAATAGCGGTAACTATGTCAATGTCAGTGAAATAACTAAAATCAGACGTGGAGTAGGGGGACACAGCTAGAGAAACCACACTACATTTTTGGGGTGTTCACAGATATAAGCTAAGACTCCCAAAAGTGGCCTGTACCACTACCTGGCTTTGACAGGTCACTTTCCAGTCGGAGCTCTCGGAGTCTGCCACAGTGGCCACAGGCTTCATTATCCTGGTTTTATTGCTCTGGGAAATGACACAGGCAGAGAGAGGAGGTCAAGAGGGGACCCCCGTCTGCCAAGCCTTTGGCACCTGTCTTACAGGGTGAAGACAACTTGGAAGATGCATTCAGAGGACATGTGATGAGGACTTTCTAAAAACTTGCTATTTTTTTATGGCGAGGACCTGAAAGTGGTGGCTCTTGTCCGCTGCGCGAGACCCCGGTCCTGCCAAGAGCAGCTAGAGGTGACCGGGCATGGTGACCTCTCCTCCCTACCAGACTTTGGGTGAGAGGTTTCAGGAGGATGGAAACCCCAAAAAGCGCCACCTTTGCCATCCATTTTGCAATATAAAACTCATCCTGGCATGACAGTGAGACAGTCAAGCCACCCACACAGTTTTCACTCTTCGTGCATTACAACCTGCGTGGGGCAGGGTGGCAATTAAAGCTGTGTAACACAAGGAAGACAATCTACTGTATGACAGGTCAATCAAAGAAACCGGGTTGAATAAGCTTTTGAAGGTGGTGGGTAATTAGAGGTGTGGCTGTTTTGTAAATACGTTGGTCATTTTTCCCCAGGGGTTTATTGCATTTTCAGGAAGAGAGTTAGGAACCGTATAAAAGTTCTGGGATGGGAGAGCACCTCATTCACTCAGCTCCACTCCTTCTTCAGAGCCTTCACAGCCAAGGTAAGTTGCTGCTACACCACTAATATTTCATTCCTACGAAAATTTGCTGAACTGAGCTAAGATATGCTCCTAGAAAGACGGGTCTGTCTGCAGGTGCTGGGATTATTGAGAGCCAATGCTGGGATTATTGCAGGTGCTGGGATTATTGAGAGCCAAGTTCTTGCCTTGGTGGCCGGGGTAATTTTGCGCTACCAAAATTGGTCTCAAGACTGTCTATGCTAGGAAGCGAAATTCATTGTTCTTACCACATGTAGATATATTTGGATTACTTCAGTGCTCAGGATTTCGAGTTTCCAAAGGACAAACTGGATATGAAAAAAGTGAAGAATAGGATTTGGGAATGAATGGGAGACGGCAGGCTGATCTTTCGTAAGGAACCTTGGGTTTAAGCTGGGAATTTTAATTGCACTTATGAGCCTGACACCATTACTCCTTTACTCCTTTGGATAATAGAAATCTTCAGGAGCTGAAAGTATTAAGCTGTCCTTGAAGGAATATAGGAAAGAACCGAGAAGGCAGATTTAAGCTGTGAGAGGAAGGAGTAACGTGAACAGCCTTCAGCTCAGCTGGCCGCATCCTGGACACCTTCTGCCTCCTTGAAATCTCAGCTCTCCTCAGAAGGGGGTTTAGATGGACATGGGGGATTTTCCTCGTGCCTCAGGAAATGGGGCACTGGCCAGCGAAGGGTCCATGGGGCACGGAGGGGGCAGAGGACAAAAGGAGGGAGGAAGGCACAGGAATCTCTTCATTTTGAGCACCTGGCTTTGAAAGCATATTTTGACAAGGCTTTAATACCACCAGCCCTGGCTGTAAATTCACCGCCTGCTCCAGGGCTCCTGGAGGCTGCGAGATTTTCAGACCCATGCCAAGATGCCTCTTGCTGGTGCAGCATCAACTGGCAGCTCACGGCGCATCTCCTCCTCCGTTACACAGCCCTGCAATAATCTCAGGGCGTCTTGCAGGCGTGCTCGTGGGATGCAGCAAGAGAGTGCAGGGAAACGACCCATGGAGCCCAGCAGAAATGGGGATGGGGGCTGCTGGGGGGGTTGTGAGAGTGTTCAGATGGTGCGGGATGACCTGGCACTGTGGGAACGAAGCCCCAAGCAGGGGAAAAGGGATGGACAGACAGGCAAATCCCGCCGAGCCCTGCCAGGATTCTAAACGCATCAAGGAAAGCACGCTGCCCTTCATGCATCTAACGACAAAGGTCTCTCCTTCCCCAGGGGTTCTCCGCATCAACCGAAAAATGTGCTCCCGTGCTGACAGAGGCTGCCACAGCGCCGAGAGCTCCTCCTGCCACAGCGGAGGCTCCTCCTGCCACGACAGCGAGAGGTCCTGCCACGGCTCCGAGGGCGTCGTCTGCCACGAAGTGAGCGCCGTGCAGGATGTGACGCCGGTGGTGGTCCTCCCTCCCCAGTGCCCCGTGGTCACCGGGCAAGTGCCAGTGGCCCCCGTTCCCTGCCAGCAGCAGCAGCAGATCAAGCAGCCGGTGCAGTGGCCTCCACAGCAGCAGAAGTGAAA